TAGATTTAGATCCCGTAAGGCAATTTAAAAATCGAGATAACTCTAGAATCAAGAGGAAAAACGCACTACACTGCAGGCAATTCGTTCTTGAGTCTTGACCATTGACGGGTAGGCCTATCCAACCGGCGCCACAACACCGATCGAAAACCAACCAAGATGAAACTAATTTAAAACGTTTAATCTACATACCTTGGGCAACCAATCGGCTTGCGTGGGAATTTGGATCAGTCTGTTTCAATTCATTTTCAAGTTCCTCACGGTATCCACCTGCTTGTGCCATTTTTTCCCACGTGTGCTCTCTATCCCTACACTGTCTGTGCTTCTAAAACCTTAGCTAAAAGAAAATGGCGTCTTTCTCTTTTGTGAATGCATGTGTGTTTGAATGCTAAATATTGGCCAGATTTTTTCCTGTAGTCATGCTAAAAACTAGAAGCACATGAAGGTTTTGATAACTTCACTGTTTTGCACCATAATGCTCCTTCTTTTGCATGATGATGAGACAGAAAATAACAATTCACATATAATTGTTTTAAAAATTAAAATTTGATTGTATTGAGTATCACTTCTGAAAATTTTCTTCCAAGGTGACACAAATTTCAATAATAAATTATGATGATTTCTTGATTTTGCTGGGTACCTATTTGGCAATGTAGTCAAAATACCCTGTCGCACAAAGAGCTGCTGGGCTGGCCTTGCCTCTCGCTCGCCTCTCACTGCCCTGCCTGCTTGCTGCTTATTGTTGCTTGCCGCTTGCCCCCAAGGGCCCCGAGCCCTGGCTGCCACTAGCTAGGCCTAGTTGGGGTTCAAGCAGCCGGCCGGCTTTGGCCTAGCCAATAGGCTAATAGGGCCTAGGCCTACCCAACAAATGGTTTTCAGCCTAGCTTCTCTAGACAATCATAATTTTGTCTGTTCAAACTTTTACTTTACTTCTCCGCCGCTTATAGGCCTACCCTTTTGGGTGTCGCGGGAAGAAAGGGACGTCTCTTTAATGCCACCAGCCGGAGAGCTTGGGTCAGGGGGATACCATGAGTTTTTAAGTGTGTTCGTTAGAGAATAGCCTAGGCCTATAGATCTACTCCCAGTTAATGAAAGACTTTGCGTCAGGACTATTATTCTTTTATGATGACACCAATGCCCCGGTAATGTATCTTTATAAAACAGGAGAAAAACATGAACGAAAAAAAAACAAAGGGGCGTAAAAACATATTGATTGGTACCGACGAGTTGGCGTTCAGGCCGTGATCGTTGAGGTTTTTACTGGTAAATGTCTTACGGCGCTCGAAACTGAATAAGGTCATATGGGCGCGCGGGACACATTAAACTTTTTCAGTTGGTAGATCTAGGTAAGAAATTTTGAATTTTGCCCGGGTGGCGGCCGAAGCCTACTCTATAAATTGACTTTAGACAACCTATTGTCCGAGAAGGCTATGCGTAGATCTTTCCCTACCAGAAGATCAGGGGTGTGGCTGAAAGACAGCATGGCAGTTTAATTGTAAGAAGGAGCCAAGGAGTAGCAGTAGAAAGGCTGCAGGAGGAGGAGGGAGCAAAGGAGGTGAGGGGGTGGGGGTAGAAAGTGAAGACGAAAGAAGACGACAGAACATTTCATTGCTAGAGAGCAGGAGAGGAGGTGAAAGGAGACAAATTTAGAGAGAGAAAAAATTATGTCGCTCCCCGGATTCGAACCAGGGACCTTTGAATAAGAGGCGAACACCTTAACATCTAGGTCACGAGAGCCCCAGTTCTTACTCTGAGCATCTAGGTCTCTCCGGATTGCGTCGTGGAATGTTGACAACATGTAGACAAAGTTCTGAAATAGCACAAGAGATGAGGAGAAATTTATACAGGCTGCACACACAAGGAGTCTTCTTTTGTATGTTTGT